TAACTGTTTTGTCCCTCAGTTATGTAATGAAAGGAAATAATAAGAAGTATGGTGTATCCGTTCATTTTGAAAAAATGGGGAAACTGGGTGGCCCTCACCGAAGTACTCGGCGAGCGGCAAGGAACCAATTGACCGCTAACAGTCGAGCTGCGCACAAGAATCGCGCACGCAAACAGGAAATTCATTGGGTAAAACTCAAGGTCAACTTTACCAACGCAAACACGACCACCTATGAAATCAATTATTCTCAACCATAACAAGCGATTAAAACGTCTAACACGGTAATAAGGAAATGCGCGAACTGAGCCTAGCTCAAGTACACGCTAAAAATAAAAGATCAAAACTATAAATCTACCAAAACAACACGTAGGCGCAAAAGACAAGGCTTAACAAAACAAAAAGCTTCTCTGGAACAGTCTCAAAAGAACAACTTCCAATTCACCTCACAACACACGCTTGTTCATTAACGCAAATTTATAAATTCTTTATATAGCTTGTCTATTGCAGTAATCAATTACTTAAATTAAGGATGAGATATGTGCATGTAAGACCCCAAAAGAAGTTTAGAGCTTTGTCAATTGAGTAGGTTTTCATCTACACTCATTTTTATTCAGCTCTATTAAACATTGCTGCTGAGTTACCAGAGTGCCATAGATTGGCGTATTGTGCTAGAAATCCCAACGCAGAGAGAGTAATATTGTTACAGTTTCAAATTTTATATCTTAAAGTTTAAACATCTAATTTGATATTATATCTTTTTTATTATAGGGATTGCAGGCTAGCTTAAAAGCTATCACAGGTGGAGTTAATTTTCCCATCCGCAGCACAACCAAATTTGCTTCTCAGAGGTCTTTAGGTGGCTCGATCAAAGCTGCTTTATTGATTAACACCCTTTAATACATGTTTTATTTCATTTTTAATTTCAATCCCATTAAGATTCTAACAGAATCGTTTCAAAGATGCTGGTATGTTACTGGTTTTGTATGTCAACACGAAAACCAAACCAAACTAGTTAATGATGCAATGTACAAAAATGCAAGACGAGATAACCTCTAACGAGGTGAGTTTTAAACCAAAAAAAAAAACATTTTTGCTTTCTTGAATTTCCGATCAAAAAAGCAATCAAAAGCACTAGAAAACTGCTCTATAATCTTCTTTGGGCAAACGTATTAGGTTTCATCCTGAGGCTAAGGTGCTGGACAAATGACGTATTCTCCTCCCAAAAATCTAACTTAGTATTTACCACCAAGTACTTGTTCCCTATAAACGACTTAATTCGTTTACCTAACGATGTGATTGCAACTACCTAACTTTACCGACAGATCATAAGTATAAAATTGCTGCTGACTCTTGGTCTGTTGAATCTATTGATCTTAGCTGAGGGTTTTATTTTTAAGTTCAGATTCCTTGTAAGACTGCAATTTCACCGCCCAAACATCGCCAACATCACTTGGATTAACCTTTGAGCTCTTTCTTGCGGAGTTTCTCTTGTCTGTAGATGGAAAAATGATGTTTACCTTTCTTTTAAATCGCTCTCTAATCTGCAGATAGACAAGACAATAAAACTAGAGTTAGAGGATAGGTATTCAAATGCTTATCTAACTTTAAAAACATCGTTATCTACACAATATGCTTAATTTTAAATTAAACTTACCTGGCTGTTTCGCACACAGTGTAAAAGGAAGATCAGGAAACCCTAAACCAGGAAAAAATTCTATTCAAATCAATCTATTTTTTAATGCTGCTGGGGGGTAGATGCATGGATGTCTTTAAGTGCTGCAAAGAAAATACTTCCTAGGTCGTGATTAAATTCTCACCTGAGTGGAGTTGAGGATGGTAAAAATGTAAGCAAAAGCTTTGTGTAATGGCGACAGAATACCAAATAACCACGTGACACCCAGAAGGGGAACCATCACCACGCATGCTTTAATTCCAAGTCTAAGGGACGACAGCATTTTAAGATGTGAGCTAACCAATTGAATATGATCTTCCCAAGCATTTTTTTCTAGCTGTACGATACACCCATGCATTAGTCTTATAAAGTAACTACTGTGAACGTGAGGCACATTTATTTGAGAAGAAAAATTCAGATTTGTCAAGATTATTTCAAAACTCCTGATTTTGCTGTCCATCTCACTGTATTTGTTGAGTTCGCTTGTCTCCTGTTGGCTGCATTTTGGTCATCTCTCTTACGACTCGTGCGAGTAACAAAATGTTGATCTTAAAGAGGAGAAAAGCACACAAAGTTTGTATGGAGTTACACATTATAGCTCTCACACACATGAAGTCCTCGACCAGAAGCCTAAAATATGATGTAAAAGAAAATTCAACCCAGATTCGAAACTTACAAGTTCAACTGTGACAAAAAATGTGACAAATATCCATATCAAATTATTCTCTGAGGGCATCCAACAACTAAAAAAAGTAATGGAAAACAAAAATGGAAGAAGAAAATCTAAATTATGTTCCACTTCAGCATAACAAAATTTTAAATCAATGTTTCATCTTACATTAATTTCAGAGGAAATTTAGTAGGCCTAAAATGATGAAAGTTATACAAAGGAGGTAGAGAGCAGATTAATGTTGACCGTAAATAACGAGAATAGAGAAAAAACAAACAAAACGAAACAGAAATTAAAATTTTAAAGAACAAAATCGCCAAAAGAAGAGGGGGTAAGGAGAAAGATAAATGTCCCTCTTACTATTTGTCACTGACAAAGCTCTGTATCCCATCTTTTCCAGCGGCGATGCTCAATGAAATACCAACCATAACGACGGGCAGAGCTATCACGAAATTATTAAGTAATCAAATAAGGTTACTCAAAATTATGCATTAGTTAATGAATTAATTCCCGACGACACATGTTTATTTCAACTGTACTTTAGAATACCCCATGATATGATGTGATACATGTACATCTTAGTGTTGATGTTGTAAACTTTCACAACAAACAGGTAGAGATAGATTCCCTCGACCAGCATCCAACAGAAAGCGGCCATCATGAAATACTGCATAAGAGCTGCTACTGTGACACAAACAGCCTGCAAAAGAAATGGGGGATAGACCAAAATATTAATTTTTCTTTTTTAAGTTTCCTTCATTGACAATGTATTTCAATAAATTCCACGAATGGTGAAGAGCTACTCACCGTCTTTTCTGTGGCTTGTATTCCGGCTAAAAAAATTATTTGTCCAGCTCCAAGGGCCACTGAAAGGCTTAGTCGTATTTGAGACAGAGGTTGTCGAACATCTCTGATAAAACAAAGAAAAACCAAAGTTATATATATGTGAAGAGAGAAAAGATGAAAAACAAATAAAAGAGCAAACGAAGGCAGATAAACAGAACAAAACAAATCATAGCTGTCAAAAGCTAAAAAAGAGGTTTAAGAAACGAAAAAATTATGAAAATAGAAACGCGCCGTATAAAATGAATAAAAAAGTATTCAATCCACTAATTAAGAATACTTTGCCGTAAGGAGTTTAGAAAACAAATTGATAGCTAAAAGTAGTTACATTCATTTTTGAAACTCTTCGGGGTGGTTCTAACGACTGAAGGTAGATGAGTCTGACTAATCTCTAAAAGTGGGTGTTGCTCGCCAAATGTTGCATGGGTTTCATATCCAAGTACAGTCGGTGATGTGCTTGCTTAGAGTGATTTCATCGATCTTTGCACGGTCTAGCCTGTTTTATGTCAAACATCTTTTTCATTCATAGAAAAAGTTCAGTACTGATTTATTGATAACAGTACTTACGTGAGGAAAGAATACAGAATAACTGTCGAGAGCATTCCGATGATAGAGAGACTGAGTCCTACGTATGTGATGATCTCCAATATAGTTATATCCTGTATGGGGAGCTGTGGCAAAAGTTAGGAACAAAAAACGAACAACAGATTAATTTACTCAAAGCCCTTATTCGGTAGTAAAGTACATGAAAACGAACAAATCACCTTTGCGTCACCGCTGTAGTCAACTAAAACAGCAAAGTGAGTCAAATGACTGCAGCTACAAACTGTTTCAAAGGAGTTGCTATTCGATGCATCAATGTGACAACCGTCCCCTGAGAACCCGTCTGGACTGAAAGGGGAAAAAAAGAAAGGAAAATAACTTCACGAATATTACAATAAAGATAAGAATAATTCCTTTCAATCAGGGGTTAGAGCATCAATCGTAGTGTTGACTTCCTTCAATTCTGGTGTTTTATAGCAAAAAGCCATCAGTGTCTTCTCGGTGATACTAAATGCAGAATGCTAAGGGGGCAGAAAGTTCTCACTACAAACAAAAAAAAACCGACAGTGATTTGAAATTAAAATAAATCACCTTGGTAAATGAGCGTTTGACTGATAATTAGATAATGTAAATTTTTACCTTTTGCTTGAGCCAATCCAAAACATGCAATGCTTTTCTTCTTCGACGACCTAAAAATAGATTTTTTTCCTTTGAACCAATTAAACGCAACATAGACGAACGGAACTTATTTTTCAGTTTTCTTGCTGTTACCTTTAGGTTTCTGAACTTTAAGATGACATTCTGTTGTAATTGTTCAGGTTTAGGATCCATTGCTGCCATCATTATCCTGGTGTTAACATATCTGTAAAGGAGAGATTGTTCTCAAATCACCCATGCAGGCTATCCGTAACTTAAAGGTAAATGTAGTCCGTCATGCTACCAAGCTTTGTAAACCAATGCATCTTCGCTTCATAGTGGTAAAACACGCTTTATATCATTTTTCATCACCAATTATAAAGGGTAAGAAAGAATACTGGCTCCTCGGTGTGTTTCTTAGATTTTAAAGAGCAACCTAGCCGGCAACCACTACTTTAGGTAAATAAAGTTATTTTAGTCAACCGAAAAAAGAAAGAGGAAATGGCTCAGCTTGTTAGGCCTCCCCTTAATTCTATGTAAAACGGCGTACTTCCCAATGCATACACGCTGAGCATGAATGAAATATTCAAGTTGTTCACGTAAACCTTGAGTTGTAAGTTTCGCCCGTCGCGGTTTCTTCTGCCATCAGCAGTTGTTGCAAATCCTTGTACACACACCCTACAACCAATGTCCCTACGAAGAAAAGCAATCGAATTGTGGAAAATGTCCTTGTTACACCATACTGTGGGTTTATCCCAGTATGTACGTACATTGTATTCTCAATAGTACCATCTCATGTTCCTGCCCTCCGTTCCTTTTAACAGACAAAGGAACTTATAATGAGGTATAGGTTATACGGAAATTGCACCCAAATGTTTTCTGAAACTGAAACAAGAACACCACTTACTAAGGTGTTCAATGGACCAACTAACCTCAATTTTTAATCCATAATGAACATTACATTACAACTCCTTCCTGGTTCTGCATTTATCAGTTCTGACCTTGATACTCTACTGGCATGTATAAACGTGCCCGCTTTGGTTTTCACTTCACAAAATCATCAATGAATCTATTGAAAAGTTCTGCGTGGTTCATACTCTTTATTTCAAATCCTTGGCAGAACGTCCAAAAAAAAAAAAAAAAAGAAAGAAAGAAAAGAAGACTACTCGGGGCAATTTTGCTAGTTGATTAACCATATCGTCGAACGTATCAGACAAGTTACATACATCAACAAAATCTGAAAAGCGGAATCTGCGAAAAAATGTTGTTGCATACTTAAGTAAAAAGGTGGCTAACACAAACCATTATCAGCAAAATTTCCAGAGGAAATATTAATGCTGGCTTGCCCTTCTTCCTCCTCGAGAAGGAAGTCACGCGCATTTTGGCGGTAGCCTATCTGAATGCCCAAAACTGTCGGAAGAAAGAGATTAGATGACGTATGATGAATGAAAGAGATTTTTTAACTATATGGTGGCGTGGTTTGAAATGGGTAAACAGTATTCAAAATGGCTACGTAAGTCTGTGCAGCGAATGAAATCTTATGATGCAAGCTCCTTATTCTCCCGACAAAATTTTCATATTTACGCTGATAAATCAGCACTCAAATGACTGAGGTATCATAGAAATCGGTGACAATCGAAATGGAGTCTCGAACTAAGATTATAAATAACCTGAAGCAAAAAAATGTTAAAACTGTGAGCACATCGCAGAAATACACATGATAAAACGGGCGCAAAAGAAAGCTTGGTCGAAAAACCAAAGAAGTCGAGACAACCTGTACAATTTAAACCGTTATATGTCGATGAGGAACTGCTAAGCGATATCAAGGAGATTTATAAATCTCATATCTTGCGCTGGGTTTAAGCTGACTCAGAGTACTTGTAAATTGCGTGGGTTCGAAAAACAATGAAGGACAAGCACTATCCGCTTTCAATATCCTAGTTGGGCTGTCTGCACACTTAAAATTCTCGTGTTCGAAATTTTTGGCATCCAAACACTTTGGTACCAAATTTTACTCTGAAGTCTTTATTTTAATCCTATTTTGCTCTTAAAGTCCATATCTGTTTGAAAGAAACTGTAAACAACCATGACATCTTTTCCGGATATCTGACCATTTACTCATACAGATTAAAACACAAATTTGTGTGCCTAGAAGTTGTAAAATTATAACATGAATAAGTAATCTTTAAAGCTTAGAATCCACAGGATATTTATGAAAAGACAAATCCAATTTTTGGAGATATTGTGGCAGTTACAGACAACGAAAGTAAGCAATTCTCTAAGCTTCTCAGTTAGTTTACTAAAGCAGCAACTTTTGCTTACCCATTTCAGACACGTCACCAATCCATGACGTATGAAGCTAATACGGTAAATTGCGAAAGAACTCAACAGTAACATAATGTACGGGGATTTTTTTCCTGTTGCCACACGAGTAATCTCTAGATTTCTTTAAAAAGATTGTGATTTATTTGAACCTTTGAAAGACACCATACTGTAAATATCGTTGAAATACCGAACGATCGGGGGAGAAAATTTTCTTTAGTAACAAATACTAAAACAGCGGAGACAGAAGTAAACTGTTAACCGAGCGATTCTCCTTTTTCTTCAACTGGACTTTCACCCTTCTTCATGCGCCAAATTGCATCTGCACGTAAGGCAAGAAACAGACGATTCGATGCGCCCTATATAATTTCTTCCATGAAACTTTTTAGAAACTGCGTGTAACATCTATTTCTTTTGGACGGGCCGCAAGCAGACCATTCAGTTAGTCAATGCATCATTTAGTCGGTGACTAATTGAGAAAATTATCAAAAATATAAAAAAGAGCATGTGTATTGTCTCACCTATTTTTTGGCTTTTGATCTTCGCGAAGGGCTTTGTTCCGCCCAGATGGTATTTACCATAATTAAGGGAAAATTTCTCCAAGGCGACTGTCACTTGAAATATAGATTTTCTATTAGCCTTAGCTTCCTTTTCATAAGGTTGGCTCTGGAGTCTTGTGATATTCCGGTACTGATCTGTGAAATCTTCAAATATACGCACGGCATCCTATAATAACAAAATAACAAATACTCTTAATTCATGCCACTTTGACTTTTATTATATTTTATTAATCCTATTAGAATGAGATAGAAGTTACACAGCATAAGAATTGTCTTCTCTTTTGGTTCTTTACTCAAAAATATAGGTTCAGAAGTCGGTTCTTCCTTTTGCTTCATTACTTTTGCTGTTTCACTTAAATTTTATAAGAATTTTCCCGTTTCCCTCGATAGAAGTGGCAGATATCCTAATCAAAAAAAAAGATAACGATTAGCTTATCTCAAAGCAGGATAAAGTAATCATACCCTCCTCATTACCCAAAGAGCTTTCGTTGCTAAGGAAAATTGCTCCCTCTGTCTTGCCAATCAATATTTTGTAAATTTTCAATACTTCTAATTTGGACTATTGTACTGTAAGTAAGAAAAGTGCGAGACCATCTCGTTTGCTCCCTTTATGAAGAGAAGAAAGAAATGTGCTGAGAAAGAGCTGCTATTCTTTAGAAAAAGTATCCGTGTCTACATCCCATTCTCGCGTTGGATGTGTTCGTAAACTTTTTCCCCAGCCTTGAACACTTTTGAAGCCGCTTTGCGGTAATCATTCTTTAATTCTTTGCCCAAGTCATATCCAAAAAGTATCTTAATCATATAATAGATGAATTATAAGAAAATTCATACCTTCAATGAACTGTTTTTGCTGATTTCTATTCGACTAAGTTTCGAAACAGAATCATTTGCCTGTGGTGAAGAAAGGCAACAGCGTTAACGAATAACAAAAACTAGAGGAATTATGAGAATAAAGAGAACTAGAAATCACATACCATATTCTCGACGACTTCCGATATCGAAAGCGGAGATTCTGTCGTTGGCGATAGGGATGATGATGACGATAGCAACAAGGGTGACGGCCCATACCCTTTCATATTACATTTACTAGTGTTGTATATCTGTTCACAGGTGCTCCCGTTACATTGCTTACTGCATCTTTCTATCTGGTTGTTGACACGCTGAGTACAGTTTTCCCCGCTGCATTGCATGAAGCAACCCTTTTTGCTATTGCAATGCTGATTACACTCTTCTCCTCTGCAGTTCATGGCACACCTTTGGGCTTGCTTGTTGCAAAACTGATCACACTTTTTCCCACTGCATTCCATGGTGCAATTCCCTTTCCTGTTGCATCGCTGAATACAATTTCCCCCTTTGCACACCATATTACAACTTTTTCCTCGCTCTTCGCAAAACTGAGTACAATTTGTGCCGTTGCACAGTATGGTGCAATTCTCCTTTCCGTCGCAAGTCTGACTACAATTTTCCGTTTTGCAGTCCATATTACAACTTTTGCCTTCCATGTTGCATTTCTGAGTACAGTTTTTCCCACTACACAACATGGTGCAATTTCCTATTCTTTCAGAAAGCTGATTACACCATTTCCCGTTGCATTTCATATTGCATGTTTCACCTTCCTGTTGACAGCTCTGATTACACAGTTTCCCGCTGCCTTCCAGATTACATACTTTAGCTTGGCAGATCTGCTTAAAATTCCCCTTGTTACATTTCATATTACAAGTATAGTTACCACTGTCGCATTTCTGCTTGCCTGAAGAACGATTTTCGCAATCAAGTGTACATGTGTCTTTTTTCTTGAGGCATTTAAAAGAACCCAGCCGAAAGCCTGAAAAATGATAATCGTAGTGAAAACAAGAAAAGTGGCAAATAAATTTCAAGCAGCCAATTGACAACTATATACAACCCTTAGACAAACCCTGCATCGAATACTCTTGGAAAACACCGTCTCAATTTACTGCGGTAATATTTAGTACTTTTTATACTTCACAGTTAGAAATTTTCTACCATCGTGAGGCTACTATACGTTAGTGCAAGGGCGATCAATAAATTTGCAGCCTACATCAAAGTAAACTAGTCAAGGATTTGTGACGGCTGTTTTCGTATGACTGAGTGGACTCCTCAACTATCGTTTATTTACGAAGCTGATAACTAATATCCATGCAAATACTATCGATCAAAAGCGAAAAAGGAAATAAAGAGTAAGTATTTCATATTTGAAAGAAGAAAGCTAAGTGTCAATCATCCATTTAGCTGAATTCTCATATCTTTAAATTCAAACATCAGTCTTAAATTACACCGTAATTTGCATCTTTGAATTTTCGTAAGAGCTTCACATCAACACTGATGGACCTTTAGGTCAGTCAGGCATTACATGGTACTATGGTTTCCAGGGGAACTCCTCCTACAGATAATTGCCTTGTTTTATTCAAAAAAACAAAAATGCTCTGACCAGCCGAAATACACAGCAAACTAATTTAAAACTAATTTAAAACAACTCTAGTTTATGTAAGTCCCCGCCACTGTCTTTTCTTTCGCATGCTATTCAGAGGCCACGTGTTCGTGTCGTGTTGGAGAGAACTCAGAGAAAATAATTTTCTTACTGGCGATAAGCCTTGGGTACTTTCTTAACACAAATTCATGTTTCAAAAAGGTTGTTAATACTCACTCAACAATGTTATAAATAGCAGCATGGTTGTCATCATTCTTCTTCTTTGTGAATTTAATTTTGTGTAGTATCACGTCCGGGGAATAAAGCCTTTTTGGCTAGTTTTTACATGCTACAGAACAGAACAAACGTACCGTCAGCCGCGTAGTTTAGAGTCTGGAAGGAATTCTCTTCCCAGAGACGTTTTCAGTCCAGACGGTGCTCCTCACTGTTTTGTGCAAGAGCCAGCTATATTTAACTAACATCTAATGCGGAAATTTTGATTGTCTTTGAAATTATTGACGTCGGGACGTTCCACTTAAATTTATTCTCAGTTAGCCGTTGACACCTGTTCGAAACTAAAGTAAAACAAAAATACCAGGCTTGAGGAATGGAACTGTTTCATTCGAATTCTCATGCCCCTTTCAACTGAGTACCGTAGGATGCACAATAACAATGAAAGAGAAAAAAATTATTTTTAATATTTAGCTCTAGGTAAAAGATTTTAATTTAGGAGCAAAGGTAAGTATTCACAACAGCATTACTTTTAATCAGTGGACATATGGAGTCTTTATTTAGCCAGTTAGTAATGAAACTTAAGAGCAGCCGTCTGTAAATATCGTCTAGAGGCGTGCAATATGAAAAAATCGAAAATCCCCAAACCTTGCCAGAATATTGGTCTTAATGAACTATTTCTAGAAAAACTACTTTGAGTTCAATTGCATTTTTATTTTTTGCGAACGGCGGAAAAATCGGTTTTGTGACTCTCACGTCAGCTTCACGAGGTTTAGACAACCATTACTTGAACGACGCTTGAAAATAAACAAAACAGGGATCACATTTGTTATCTGGGTAGCCGAGCTCGATTAATGTTCACCGTACTACTTCTATTGATCCTCACTAAGTGGTGCGGAGCATTAGATCTAACCTACGTATGCCACTCACTAGAGGGTGTTCTTGACAAAATGTGGGACGTTTTTCATTTCTTAAAATAATAAATGGGCATAATAGCTCACCAAGGCTTCATAAGTCGTTTAATTTTAAAAAACTGACAGACCTATGAATTTCTTTATTGGATATGAGTGTTCCCTGTTTTCATTGCTAATATATTAAAATAATTATTTCTGTGGCACTGAGGAATATTTCATGTTTGACAATGGGGTTCATAGTCAATCAGAATGCGGTAAGGGACCAGTTATTATTTATCACCTGGGAGGGGTAAGGAGGATTTTTGCAGGGGGAGCACATGTTTTGCAGGGGGAACGGAGAGGAGAATAGTCGTCGTTAAGAGAGTATAAAGACAGGGACTATGGACAATTGACTGCCAATGAAAGGGGATAAATGGAATACTAAAAAGCCAAAGAGGGGAATCGATAAAGCTGTTGTAGCAAGACTAAAGTGGCCCGAGTTCCCAACAAAAACTCAAAATAAACCTTTGATGACCAATTTTTACCGCTTCAAAGTCGTCCAAAAATCGTCCACCATTGCTAAAAACATGTTCCAGCCGAGCCCGCAATTGTACAGCAGGAAACGTCATCATGACGTCAAAGGCTCAACAAACTTATGCTTTGCTTTTTCACAACTCTCTTTGTTCGCTGCAAAGAGAATCACACCTATTGCTTTTTGAGAACTTTTTCGTTGTCAGTCGTGAAATGTCAACTTTGTATGACGATGAATTGTCCCAGAAATCATCTGAAGCTTCTCTGGATAGTTTTGCGCCGGCAAACGATGAATCTTTGCCATGCGAATAAAGATAAAGACAGAACGGCAAGGACTCCCCATGTAGCTTTTGCGGTCACATCGCTTTATCGCCTTCGAATTGTATTTTTGCTTGTCTTACGGGACTTTCCTTTTTTGTAAGAAATGATTGAGTGATATATAAAATTTGTTTTCGGCAATGGCTGACTGTGTATCCAAGGGGCGGATGTTGAGAGTTTGTGAAAGCCATTTCTACGCAATTAATGTGTTTGCCCCGATGCATTTGGTCAATGATCTCATTAACCCTTTCCTGCGTGTTTTTTACTATCAGTGCAGTGAACTCTGCTGTTGAGCTGCACTTTGGCCTCTTGTTTTTTCTGTCTTATTCATGATGACTATTGTTGTGTTGCTTCGGTGAGGTTCAAAGCAGAGTTTGTTTCAACTCTTTGAGAGCCGTGACTTCATTGCGTTACAAAGTATTTTTTGGCTTAGATCCAGTCTGCAAGTTGTGTTATGACAATTTTCCAAGTAGGTCTGAAGGGCGATAGAAGACTGAACCGGTGGCATTCAGTTTTATATAAAACTGTAATGTTTCTTTGTTTTGTCCGTGAAAGGTGTAACAGAGACACATTCGTCTTGCGAATAAATTTCACAAAAGTTGGCCTGATTTCACATTCGTTTGTCCCGGGTGTTGGGATGAGTTTGAGACCCTTTGATAACACGCTGACTTGGCTGTCAGATGGTTGATAGTTTGAGAGGTTTTTAAAGAACTTTTCATTTTCTAGGTTTTTTGGCTGCAAGCCTACAATTTAAAGTGTTTCTACGCTCTACGTGTCTTAACCTGTTTGTTCTACTTTCGCTGATATTAAAGCCTGCCTTTCGCTGATATTAAAGCCTGCCTTTCGCTGATATTAAAGCCTGCCTTTTGCTGATATTAAAGCCTGCACACAATAATACTTTTCATCTCTTTTGTCTAAAAGTGAGCTCTTTGAGGTCAGAAATCTCATTCCTCAATTCGGCTATTTTATCATTCTTGTTTACAATGTTCACCTAGTACTTTCCTTTGTGTAAGGTACTCTGCCAGAGAGTTGTTAAAGGTGACCATCGATCAGCGCAATTGTAAAGGTGACAAAACCCGTGGAGGTTCGTATACCTCACTTTCGTCGAGATCGCACAGAAACGGTTTTCTTGTTCCTTCTTTTGAACGGTAGGCAGATCTCTCGAAACAGTCCTCCGGGAAGTGTTCGGAGTAGATCACAAGTATTCCTGCAGGATTGAAGTTTACTCGGCGAGTTCGCAAAAATCGCATCCGTTTTTCCCGCTCTGATCTATTTGAAAGGCTCCGATACAGAGAATTACCTAGAGCATGGTCTGCAAGATTACTTAAGCTTTGAATTACGCATCGATGCCTCGTAATTTTTGTTTAATTTTTGTAAGAATAGACTAAAGCACTCTGTTATGTTTGCTTGACATTTCGCTATGTGAGATTTTCGCGTTGAGCCTTTGACGTCACTTTCTCTGAGTCCTGCGATCAACTTCAAGAAAATGGTCAAATAATGGCGGACGCGAAATCGCGAATTTAACGGCCCGAAAAAAGGTATTTCTGATGCTCGGTCAAGACTGAAATTTGGCAGAGTAGGTGAAGGAGACACATTGAGCCCGAAAATGAAAAAAAATGATGTACGAAAGTTTTGATCTCAGGGGCACTTTGAGTAAGTTGTGTAATCTCATTTTCTACTGTCTTTGTTCTAACAGTGGCAGACATGCCTCTAGATAGTTGCGTTTTTTCTGCCTTTCTGAAAATTTCTAATAAAATAAAGGATGTAGGAGTTCCTATGATTGTCCATCCGACTTATATGTATACAATTGAGGGATTTATTTTTTACGTCAGTGAAATAAGGATAAATTTTGTCAGTATAATTCATTTAAACTTACAGTCCGCAAAGGAACCCAAACTTTGCTTTTTTTCTCCAAGCCACTATGGTTAATCGTCCTTCCCTTACAAGAGCAAGGATACAATCTCAACAAAAGAGAATTCCGAGACGCTATTAAACTGCGATACGACTGGCAATTCGAAGATATTCCTTCCAAATGTGCTTGAGGGGACGTGTTCCCAGTGGACCATGCAATGGTCTGCAAAAAGGTGGCTTTATTATACAGCGCCACAACGAACTTAGAGACTTTAGAAGCTGAGCTTTTAGGAATTGTCTGCAAAGATGTGGAAATTGAACCCGAACTGCAAGACACGACAGGAGAGTAATTAAACAGAGGTTCCAACATGGCGCAAGATGCAAGGCTAGACATTTATGCTCGTGGTTTCTGGGAACACAATCGATCTGCATTCTTCGATATTCGAGTTTGTCACCCAAACGCTGAATCGTACAGAAACCTGAAACCGCAGCAGATTTACCGCATGCATGAGAATAAGAAGAAGCGTTCCTACTTAAGACGTGTTCTAGACATCGAACATGGTTCATTTACGCCTCTTGTGTTTACTTCGACTGGTGGAATGGGCCAAGAATGTTTGAGCTATTACAGTCGCCTTGCAGAACTCATTGCAGAAAAGAAAGGAGAACATCATTCAAAGGCAATTTCCTGGATCAGGTCAAAAACTTCGTTTGCATTGTTAAGATCCGCCCTAATCTGCCTAAGAGGATCCAGAACAATTAGAAGGCCCAAATTGGATTTTACTAATGTAAACCCAGATATTCAAAGTTCAGAGGCTGCCATTTGTTTGTTAGTCTCTTTTTTTTTTCTAGATAATTTATTAGTCGACATTTTCATGTATTTTTTTTTTATTTTTTAAGGATTTTATGTTAATTTGTAAATATTTTTGATGATTAGAGTGAATTATCGTTATCATAGTGTGTATCCTCTAGTTTTTCTTACATTTTTATTAGACATTTAACACATTTTTTTCGATTTTCAAGCATTTTATCATAATTTTTGTTACAATTTTTGTGATTATGGTAAAATTATTATACCAATAAAAATTATATTCGACTTTTTGTCAAAAAAAAAACCAAAATTACAACTTATTTGTACTCAGAATCAACTTAAAATAAATTAAATGAACAAAAATACGTTGGTTGGGCATACACAAGCTTAAGTGCATTGTCCTCAAGACTTGATGACTGCAGTAATCTATTATTGTGTCAAGGTCTTTTAACACTTTGAACTATGATTAAGATGTTTTCATTTAGTTCGTTTTCTCAATACAAAGAAACTGCATTAACAGATACTATTGAAGACAGATATTCACACTCTTAGAAGATTTTAATACCACTAACGTTTTTAAGGGGGATGACAAAAATTGAAGTCTTTGCATGGATTGAATAAAATTCACCAATTGCAGATATAAAATAATGTTTAATAATGAACTATTGGGTCTTCAAGAAACATGTTTGCAGTT